TACACATGCATTGTAACCATTTTCAGTTTTTTATGATGAAATCCCCACAAGCTACCTTTGGGCTGAAGCACAAATCATCCTACAACTAGCGGACTAGATAAGTACTGAGAAAACGGAATGAGTCGTGACATCTACATTGATATTTATTTCCAGGTCATGACGCACGAAACAGTGTGACTATGGCCAGATTGACGAGTTGACTCAGCTCGCTGACGCTTCCTGAATCTTACACCCTTTCCACCAACCTGACAATATAATGTACGTAACGATTATGAGCTCCAAATCGGTCGCGGGATATGACTAGATATGAAAATTGAACGACTATGGTGGGATTCACACATACAAGAGCGATCAAATGAGACCACTTCACCATTGTTGCACTCCTCGTAGACAGCTTGGATGCGGCGTTAACCAAACTAATTAATTCGTGATTTTAATATGCCAACCCGTCATCTCCGTGTGATTCGATATGATAACCGACTGACAACAATCCTTTTGTGCATTTCCAGACGCAGAGGATCGATTCATTTCGCTCCAATATTAAGATTAACTCGTTACATGTGAAAATCATAAACCGATACCCAACTTATTTTGTGAATGGAGCATTGACGTTTACTTGCAGCAATATTTCAAAACTTTGCACTTGATAAAAGGTAACATATCACTGGAAAGAAGTACCCCATGCTTCTCAACAGCATCTCGCGAGTGGACGATACTTTCTGGAAACACACCGGCAGTTGAAAACTGGATACAGCGATTTTGACCGCAATCCGACCCTAAGCTAATGTTATGAAACAGGGCGGTGGTGAAAAAGTGTTACACAACGTTCTCCCGACTTTTTCGTCCACGAATTGGAGCAATGGAATCGTCGATTAGATTCCTTGTTTGAACATGCCAGAAAAATAATTCTCTTTTAAAAAGAAAGCTTACAAACGCGTNCTATGTGCTGACCTTCATTCACCCTAGGCTAGCTTACAGCTTAATATTTCATTGAAGTTGTAAAATATTTGTCACTTGCTTTATGTTCTGGTGCAGTGGATTTTGTATTCTGATCGTCCAGGGGAATATCACATATTCGTCCAATCGACAGAAGTAAACACGCTTGACAAAAAAAGATGCAAAGATAGGTGCGAGAGCTGACTTACCTGTGAGTTTGTCATCCTGGCCGTGATAAGCCGCTTCAAACAAATGATCTCCCGTCCGTTCGAACTACCGAATGGAAAAAGGACATTTAAGGTAAAAAGACGGCTTTGATGATGTGATTAAGGATAACCGTGATAGATCTACTTGACGAACGAAATGTATTTTGTCCACGACATACAACCCAATCCATTATTTTACCACTGATATCAATCTCTGATGTTTTCTCTATTTCCCCACTTCCCGACATACTGACATCAACGTCGATCGTGACTGAAGTAAAGTCCGTCTTACTAGATTTCAACCTTTAACGCACTTTTTTTACCGAGGCTTCCATAATCCTGTCAGTTTAAGCGATTTCAAAACTCCCCTCTTTTAAGCAGCACCCGTTCTTTTGTCAGTCTCTTTATACTCAAATTCCTTGCATTCCACAGGCTGTATTTTTTCCTGGTTCAATCATAACTTCTTCCGCATGCTGGCCCCCAAGAATATTTCAGTGTACTTTTCATGGTGTACAAAAAATAGTTTTCTATTACGTCAGACGCTCTGTTACTCCAGCTCATCCCTCCGACTACACAAGGCTACCTGAAAGCTGGAGCCCTGCGAATAACGTGGTTTCCTATTGTGCCCTTTGATTTTTTGAGGGGTTCCAACGAAGTGCCGTGGGGCCGGTTGACAACCTATACCTAACCTTCACTAACCCAACGACCAGTGCTTGCTTCTATCTTTTACCGTTACTATTTGGCTTGTGTTCTTCGTAGTTTACCTCAGTAGTTCATCCTTTTATAGCCTCTAATCGCTTGCACAGCAGCAGGCGACAGATCATCCCATTCAAGGTTCTATCCCAAGATGTTATATTTTCATCTTTTAGTCTTCCTTTTCCAACGGACTTGTAAAGTTAATTACCCTCTTTCTATCTACTCATCCATCCACCATTAATCCTCATATTTTAGAAACGGAATCAATAAACTGATTCTTACATAAATGCTCTCCAACTCTGATTGTGGAGTTTAACCTTTTTAAAGTAATTAATTTTGCCTGTAGTTAAAGTCCCAGAAGTATGAAGCACATAACATTATTCCTATAGACCCATTGCCACTGTTCACAGCATTCAGTGACGCGAATTGAGAAATAAAACTGAGTAACAAAACGGGTTTACCGAATTAACGGAACTACACAGGCCGTCAAAGAAAGTGCTGGTTTCTCAACTACAGGCATTAACCCTTATACTGAGGACGAAAACTTCCAGTCTTCGTTTCAGTTGGTCTGTGATGACAAATGGTGGAGAAACCAAGTTTCTGTTGTCATTTGCTCGATCCTGTATGCTACTGTTCAAACAAATACCCGTGTCCCAATTACATAAGCCACAATGCAGGAACGTCTATGAAAAGAAGCATACCAATGAAAAATGTAAAACCCTAAATTGGTCAAAACTTTATCTCTCACTAAGTTGGCAACATGAAGGCCATATGGATCATCATCATCATCTTACAGTGTAATACAGAGAAGTGAACTTCGTCGACCGCCGCCAAGCTTACAATGTACACAAGGTAAGTGAAAAAGTACAAGATGTATAGGAGTTGGGCCTTACTGGAAGGAGGCAAAGGAAGTGAATCTTTATGGTCAACAAACAGAATACAATACCTAACTGTGTATACATACCGCTTCAAGCATTCTGACCTGATATGAAATGATGACAAGAACGCCACTGCATTCGGTTAGTTGCCATATTCTTCAGTGCCTCCAACCAACCAGTTACACAGTCTTTCGGAACCCAACCTGGAGGACGGGAGACACCTACTCCACCTAATCGCTCTGTGCATATGGGTTAGCCTAATTTGAACGGGTGGCAATATATGGGCATACATGTGGGACCAATAAAACAGCCGGCTTAAAAGTGTATTATCATGAATCTAGATTCGTCAACCTAAGTGTGTCATTACGGTTAAAGAAAATTGGCTGATGGGAAAGTACAGTAAAATTGCTGGACAATTATACGCTGATTCCTGGAAACGAACAAAAAAGACGTCGGTCAGGAAGAACAGAGTGCTATGGATAACCATCGGAATGAACCTTAGTATATCCACGCTACGGTGTCACAAACTATGCCATTTCTCAGTTACCCAAAGAACACTCTGTCGAGGATTGAATAAGGACTCATTGAAATCCCGACGGTTAAAGCTAGAACATCTCTGGACCAAATCGCACATGAAAACCAATCTTGAACTTGGAATGTGGTGTTATTCATAGAGTTGTATCACTAGAACGTACGAATCACGGCTTACTTCAAAGCACATAAACAGACAATTCATAGCTTAGAGAGCAAATCAATGAAAACTGCTATTGTAATGCACACATATATAGGGTGCAACATAAATGAACGGGAAAAGCGACCTGATCAACTTGCAACGGAACTGCAGTGCTGAAGAAAATTGTGCTATTCTGAAAGGGAGCATGGTACAATGATCTTTATAAGAAAAACCGTTCCATAACTGGCTTGTGGGCTGAATATTGCCAGGTTGCCCAGACCAAGGCAGGTAAATTTTCGTGGGGAATTCACAACCGGAGCTTTCGGCTAGCCAGAGCCAACTCGCAAGGCAGCGGGAAGGTGTGTGAAAACCGCAATCCATTCGAGGCCGGTGTCCAGTTCATCGGACCATAGGCCCTTCGGACGGGGTCAAACGTCAAAGGTGCCCAATACACCTCAATGCCCAAATGAATCGGTGACCATTGCCACAACCGGGAAGGCGTGGGTGTGGTTCGTACGCCTCCTCATGGTTCGTTTGGAATCGGGGTTTTTGGCCAACTCCCCTAGGTGGACTACCAGCGGTCCACGAACCCGATTATAGCCCCGGATATCGTACGAGGTAGAGATACTATATATTATTATGAGAGATACTATGTGGTCTGATCATGGTAAACGTATATTAACCTGAAACTTTACTTTTTAGTTTTATTTTCGTGTCAAGTATTACAAACCAGAATAACGCAAAAAAAATTGGAAATTGCTGACGTATTTCAGTGTACTTTTTGAAGGGGTATTTTCATTGGCTCTAAGTGTAGGACGGAATCGAAGTTAACAGATCATGGGATGAAGGACTATTTGGGAATAAATGTGGAGGAACAATCACAAGTGTTGCTTACCGAAGCCAAACAGAGAACACTGTTCTTGGCCTTTGCCATTCCCGTGCGTTGATAACCGAATACCTCACCCTGTGGTGGCAGAAAAAATGTGGAGGACGGTAAGCCGCTTCACAGTTCACCGAAGACAAGAACACGGCTGATAAACACAGTCCTCAATAATCTGTGACTTACGCGATTTGTCATGACATCTGCCAACAACATGACATGTCGAATGTTCACCTCAACTCCATGACCTTCCATCACAGAAAGAAGCTCATCAATGACCACACGACGAGCAGCCTCAACACCAAGTACTTGTTCAACCTCCAATATATTATTACTCCATGTACGCTCAGGAACTACGCCCGGAACACACATCACCTGTACGGGTACAAGAGAAATGAGTATAGGGCTCTCGATGGGGATACTCAAACTGGGGCGATAGATCAGGATGGATCAGGGGGTAACTCACCTCACGCAACTTTGCACCTTCCACATAAATCTTATGTTCATAATCTTTGTCCTGTTGGATTACAACACGTGCCACTCCAGGAATGCCCTTGACGACGATATCCTCCAACACTTTAACTACCGTCTCAAGAGTGTTCAAATCAACCGGATAGACGTAGACGAAATTTTTCGAGTAAGTCACGCGCTGCATAGAGGTTGAAAGGTCAAATTGAGAACGAGATAAGTATGAGAAGGGAAAGAAAGCTAATTAAAATTGATGGAGTGAATGCGCAAAAGTAAGCGAAAGGAAGAAGTAAACGGATTACACATTAAGGAAATGGAGATCATCCAAAAATCCAAAAACGGTAAATGAAGTAGACGGATAAAAGCACTTAATCCGAGACTCGATAAGAATGTGCCAAAAACCTGGTGAATGAATTGGAACAAGAAAACCATGAAAGACGTTGCAGACAATAAATGTAGAATGCAACCATCTTAAGATTGCAGGCACAATTTCCAGACACTGAGAATAATGCAATTCTTGTATTCGTATGCGTCGGTCTTCAACAACCGGCATCGTCATATCTCAGTTTGGTTAGGGCATGTAGCTAGGTTCCAAAAACCTTTGCCATTTTAGTGGAGTGTGACAAGGTTGCTCTACAGACTTTCCAACATTATGTTTATCCAGTCTATATACATTGACATTTAACACTTGTTTTAGAACAAGACTGATACCGACGAGACAACTAAAATGGTTAGGGGACGTTTACATTTGAAGGGAAATGAAACCAACTGTGAAGAACAAAAAAGAACAGCGATTTTTTTGTTTTACCTTATTTTAGCGTTGTTTGCTGTTGGTCTAGTAAACAGTGAAATAACACTTCTCCCTCTTGATTTGGAAAATTCTGGCAGTATCGCATTGCTCAGTAACAGTCATGTTATTATTATTGCTTCTCGTGTACTTTTCTAGTTTATGTAGTTTTTTCAACTGTCACGATTGGGATGAGGATCTCACTTGCAATGCAACAAAACATTCATCTGACAGCTTTGTTCATTATTATGCTGCCTGTTTGTAGTTACCATTAGCGAGCCGAAGTGAGTCTCATCTGTTCCCGTGTAGTTTGGTAGCAAATTCATCCTCACAGGATAACAGAACTTCGGTGAGTTTATGCATGCGCTTCACACACCTGACAGTCATTTACCAAACCTCTCCTTGTTTACAATCGTCCCGTCACAGTAAAGAAAATCATTTGGAGCCAGCATATGAAGAATTGTATGGTGGGACCAGATGAAATTAACTCATCCTTTAGGATAGAGTAAAACAACTGTGATCAGCTGGTTGAAGATAATGAAGGACATAGCAGCGAAGGAACAGAATATGAGTTCATATTTTCACCTCAGATCAGATCAGACAGTTTGAAGAATTTGGTGCATACATCAAGAGTGGATGGGGTTCATGTCATTTGATGGAATATTGTGGTTTGAAGCAGAACTGAGGGAATTGGTGGCGACGTAACATACGAAACGAATAGAAACAACCAATAGAAGGCGATTTGGAATCTCGGGATAACGAATTCGCTCTAGGAGTACATCTTGTTTACATAGAGTATTAGTCAGCATTATTTGTCATTCGAGTTTCACGCTCCCTGCTGAAAAACCATTCCCCCATCAGTCGTTTCAAATTTTAACACCGACAAAGTTCCTTTGAGGGGACAATGAATCAAACAATAGGAAACATTAATGGAAAATATTAGATTTTTAAGCGAAGGAAAAGTGGGAACGCGCAAACATATGCTTACCGACAATTTAACTTTGCGCAATTTTGTTTGTTGTACCACTGAAGCCACACGAGCAGTTGTGATACCACGACGAGCCATGCGTTTTTCGTCCAAAGTGACTGCCACATACACATCCTCTGGGGTGAGGCATTGACGCAGACTAACTGAAATGTCGGCCAAGCGAGTAGGCTCAATCGCTAGTTTGACTTGTCGTGCTAATGAGGCAGAGAACGGATCGGTCAGAGTGACCGTGATCAGAGGGGTTTTGATTCGAGCGACCGCGTTCACAATCTCACGCATTCTTGGTACACCCTAGAAAAAAAACAAAAAAGAACAAGATTAGATACCAAAAAATTGGAATTTTTGTGTGAGCGAATGAAAGCTCACTTTTTGTCATGGATCCGTATGATTGGGGTAAAAGATCCCTATATTGGTACCCTAAATCACACTCGCAATGTGGTGACGAATGAAGGAGGATGCAATCGCACTCAGTGTGTTTCTTAAATGATACAAACTTATCAGTTCTGTTTGCAAACGAGCCTTGCACCCCATCAAATCACATGATCCTTTGCTTCTTCTTGGCCCAAATATCCTTGTTCCATGCACAAAATTTATTTTAAAAAGTGCTGTACAGTACGAATCAAACAGCGCTGAGTAAAATTCACGTCACTACAGTCGACAATGGTCGTTACTCGAAGTCGGCATCACCGAGGGAGTAAAGTAACGCAGAACAGTGAGCCAAAATTGCCAACATTTGAAGCACCTCAGAGTACTAAGAAGTTACCTGAGTGATATTCATGCTAGCGACTCCGGCAAAGTGGAATGTTTTCAGAGTCATCTGAGTGGCTGGTTCACCGACAGATTGTCCGCACAATGCACCGACAGCCGTGCCCGGCTCAATTTGAGCACGTTCGTATTTCTCTTTGATTCGAGTCAGGAAAACACGCAACTGTTCTCGTGTCAGACGTTCACCACCGGACCGTAGAGCTGGAGTTGTCGGGTCAGGACACCTGGCAACAAACTGCTGCCACGCGTCCAGTTGCGGATAGACTTTAGCTGCTAGGAAGGATCTACAATAAAAATGCATACGACACAAATGCTATAGATCAGAGAAATATTGTTCCCAAAACTTGGGACTTGGTAAAAATGGGTCTAGTTAGACCAATCGCAACTAACAGCTGTCAGACTTCTTTGCAATTCAAGGGAGCTTAATCTGATAAAAGTTGGAGCGGAATTGCTTTAACAGAATAGATCTCAAAAGTTGAAAACCCCACGTAAACCACTTCTATAAGATTTGGCCATTTGCTGCCAAATCTTTTCTAAACCTGAAAATGTTTTTTTACTTATTTATTTATTGAATATCTAAATGTAGTCCTCTTTCAGAAATGGGGCCGCGCTCATACAAAAGTTGTCTGGGTAAGTACAGAAATGGGAAAGATGGGTGGCGGGATTCGAACACAAGACCTTCAGGTCGATATTTTAATGACCTTAACAACTCGACCACTGTCGCAGCATTTTTTTATACACAAGTGCCATCGTACGACCACTTCATAATTGTAATGAATCGAGAATAAAGCACCCACATGGAGCAGGTCGCGATAGTGTTAAACACGTCTAGCATGAAAACCTGAAGGCATTGCTGTGTTTCAAATTTTAACAGCTAATGAAAATCGCACAGGAGCTGGTGGCTCTCGAACAAGATACCATTTTACAAGATCCATTTTACTAAACTCTTACGAAACGTTATGACACGACTCAATGCGGATGGGCCAATAGGACCCGCGGGTTTGTATTACCCCAGACAAATACTAGCCGGTGGTTGTGATCAATTTGGATCAACTTGACTTGAACTTGTCCGTTGAACTAGAACATCATGTCGCCGTCCATCGAAAGATGTGTCGAACGTCAGTGCTACATAAGAACAACCGATGATCTGAGCAGAACTCAACTAATCCATAGTCGTCGTTTCTTTCGTTGTCTTTATTATGCTCAATTTTCTAAATTGCACCTTAAACAACCATGCCAACACAACAATACCGCCGCCTAAGTTATTCGGGATGAATTGAGTGAGTTTGTTAGAGAACTTATCCCTTTGTGAATCGGGCATATAGTCGGTCGGCGCATACGCGGAGATTATAAATAAACACCGTTCGGTGTTGTTTTCATTATAAACACTGGTGGAGATCAGTTTTGTTGCTTGATGCAATACCCAATCAGCGCAGACCAACTCAAACAGCTTAATCAGTCCCTGAATATTTGTTTGTGATACTCATCAGACACCAATTGCAAGGGAGTCGGTAGCACGCACAAGACAAGCTTGTTGATCTACGTGCATGAGAATCCTAAGGTTGAAGGCCCTCACATCAAAAGGTCGATGAGGCTTTAGAGCTTGTAGCTCACGCAGTGGGTGAAACTCCTACAATGTTCATTGGAGATGAGCTTGGCTGAGTGACAACGCAGTTATCTGTAGGGATACTACCGACCAAAGGGATGGGCAAAGGAAGGAGGTTGAACAGAGAATCCAAAGTTGACATATACCGTCAGTAGCTCACTTATAGCCAACCTCCTTGATCTATGAAACGAGTAGCGCGGTTTTGATTATCCATGGCAGCGACGGATGCAGTATAAAATTCGTTTTAATTAGTGTTCATGGTTGCGGCACTGGTGGGGCGACCGAACACTAAGCAGGAGGCCATTTAGGGTTCACAGCCAATGCTTTCGAAGAAAATCTGATCACAAGGCAGCAAATGAGGGGAGTGGTCACCAATCAAGTTGGATCAATTTTTCTTTCATCATTTGTACAGGACGCCAATTGGAGTCGACCCTCTCCGCCCCCCCCCCAAAAAAAAAAANACCAAGAAACTGAACTTCTTTTACCTCTACTCTCTAAACTTTCAATCAAGTTCAAATCTCTTGGCTTGACAAAACGAGAACCTGTGGTTACATTATACGTTTTGCTCAAACTGTTGTTTGGCAGATTGGAGTCTTATGTCAAAATTGTGAAAAGTTAAGTAGCCTCAGTGGGATTCTTTGTCTAACCTGAACATTGCTTGCGTAATTGTTCCATTAGACTCGTGCAATTCTACTCAGAGTCTATTCTCCATGGATTAAAGGCAACGTAAACCGCACTATCTTTTAACCGTCCCAATCAGAAAACCATACCTGTCGATGGAAACAGTAGAATGTGGCATTTGGCAAACTGATTACCAAGCAAAACGGAAATGAAAAAAAGACGGTAATTGAACCAACCTGATTTCAGCGTGCAATGTTGGATCCAGAATAGCGAAAGGCTCCAAACTCATGGCAGCGTTCACAGCTACCTGGACTTGGTTCGAGGTAAGAGATTCTTCATCATGACAGGGCATGCTTTCCTAGACTCAGCGGAAAACAAATTGAGCCAAATAAGGTACTAACACAAGTTAATCTGTACACCCAAAAGAGTAACCAGAAACTTTAGTCTTGCGAATGTTATTACAGGATAGTACTTAGTGGTTCAAACCATTTCGTAGAGTGGAATTTGTATTTCTATCGTGCAGTTTACCGGTTTTTAATTCGCATCGTGAACTGTTTCCCATGCATGAGGAACAAAACTAAAAGCATGGCATCGAGCATATGAGTATTCTACTGAGTCAGTGGTCCCGATGTGTCTCGAAGCACCGTCAGAAGCCGAAGTCCGAAACTTTGAATGAAAATTTCGAACTAACAGAACACACACAGAAATCGTGCGTCACATGCAAAATTAGAGTTTAAAAACGGAACTATGTGCAGCATAATTTCTATCCTTTCTGTTTTATAAGAAGGATGGTCGTGGAAAAACGGTTTACGTAGCTGTCACCAGTATGCTTTAGGTCCTAAGGTCCGATACAGGAGCCCCATTATCGTCACCCAGTTTCGCTACTGACTGGCTGAATACCACGTTGATGCTGAAAGAGCCTTATGCAGTTCGATACTGCAAATCCTGGAGGATAGGTTGCTGGTTTCCATGCGTGAACAACAGGTCCTCGTGACTATGAGGTTGGCCTGTTTTGGTGATAATCGTAAAATAAGGTAATAAAAAAATCCATGTTCACAGGCAGATATTTGCATTCCAAAGCTGCAGAGAATGATACCAAAAACATTCACCAACGAAATAAACCGAATTGAACACCTCAATAAGACTAACAATGGGATGAGCAAATCACACAATCACAATGATCTACTTTCCAGTAATAGGGACTAACGATCCAAGCCTCGGGGCAAATAGTGATGATATAAATGGCAACTGATTAGGATATACGTGATTTCGAGTTTGATGGAAGCGAAGAACAGTACAATCAAAGTCGTGTGGCTATTACAGGGTTAGACACTCAGACCCGAAATCGCTATGACGATTGATGCCAATTTATATTAGAATATACTATAAAGCACAGAAGACGAGACGTTTTAACAACCCCTTGAGTGCACTAACAGATACCGAATGAACCAGCGAACTAGGCCGGTTCTCACAAAAGAAAAACTTATCTGAACACAAAACTATGTATCTATGTCAAGCAATAATCAATAGAATAATTTAACAAAAGAAACGCATCAGAAAATCAGATAAGAAAAACAAAGATTGTTAAAATAGCTAGTGTTTTACACAAAGCAACTGGCTATACAGAACAAAACAGATACCACAACTTACTCGAACATTATTCAATTCTCGAGTCATGTCTATGGGGAACTTTTCAACTTCCATTTCGAGAGGATCGAGACCGTCTGAGCCGTAACGAAACTGAATTATATCACCACGACTATCGCGCACTGTATTGTCATATGCCACGGCCAAATCTTCCAAGAACTATTTATCGAGAGAGGGGATTCAAAATCGAAACGTATTTGGTTTGCTTTGTAAAGACGAACTTCATGCCAGCACTACAGTTAAAGGCGTATTGACACGTGTAATCAGTTTTAACGGAAATTGTCCGGCGGTGATCTACCAGTGGTCTACTGGTACATATCTCCGAATTAGACCCAAGCAATGAACAAACAAACGAAGACAGTGGACATGGGATAGAAATCTACTAATTGTATGGCAAGCAAAATAACTGCTCATGAAGCAGACGCATGAGACGCAAGGGACTAGAAATCAAAATTTACCACAGGACAACGTTTGATGAATCAGACAACAAAACGTTGAGGCACGGGTAAAGTTGGTCAAATGTGGATTTCGACAGCGAGAACAGAGAATTACCTTGACCAAACGGCGTTGCATGTAGCCCGTATCCGCCGTTTTAACCGCTGTATCAGTTAGACCCTCACGACCGCTCATTGCATGGAAGAAAAATTCGGACGGAGTAAGACCAGAATAAAAGCTGTTTCCGACGAAACCTTTGGCCTCAGGTGTCCTAGATCCACGTGGAAAATGAATTAAACTGCGACCGTTGACAACATCCGGAACACGTTTCCCACCAATTACCTGTTGGCCGACACATGCGATCATTTGGGATATATTCAAAAACGAGCCTGAGGCACGGAGATGCATGACAAAGAGGGACGGAGAAAAATGAGGTGTGGATACATAAAGATCAACAAAACTGGTAGTGAGTAAATGCCCAAAGGCAAAATGATAAGAAAATCCGATAGGCAAGAAGCTAGTTGGAAAAGTCTGATTATTTCCCATTAGCCACATAAAAGGATTATTAGTCCTGTATCACATCTGATTCAAACCGCATCAAATTATTTAGGGAAGGAACCTTACGTGAGTGAAACAAATGACAACTGTCTGGGCTGAAGTGTTGGGTGACAGTGCCGCTGCCGCCGATTTTGAAATCTGAACTAGCTCTTCCCAAATGATGAAACAGTGTTTGGAATGCGATACCTGTGACTGTGTACAGGACGACAGTGCCGGATTGTTTTCATAACCATGGTAACACTTGAAAAATGATGTCCTTCTCATCGTTCTTCTTTACGCCAAGTTTAAACCCGGAGTGAAGCTCACAGTTTCAGTTTCACATTTTACAACCGTTATCCATGCACTTTCGTGCGCCGATTGCCATTTGGACAAAAGAGCAAAAATGAAGAACGGAATGCTGCAAGAAAAGTCAAGCGGAAGATGAAGAAATCATATAGAATAGGGTTAGAGGAATTATGAGTCGATCCACGAACGCCACTGTTTACGACACCCAGCCATTTCATTCAGTGTCTCTAACCATCGGTGACCATCATTCCGAGGTCCCCAGCCAGGGAGCCTAAC